TGGTGAGGCAGGTGCGGAGGGGACAGCCTGGGGAAGGACTGAGGGGCAGAGGGCTGAGAGGGCACAGTGAGCATGGAGAGCAGGCTGAGAAGACGAGATGCTGAGAGGTTATGACTCGATGAAGGTGGTCTGAAGTGTATGAACAGGGAAGTCTGGCACTTGTGGGTCGTGGCAAGATCCGGGGTCTGGCCATCTCTGAAGGAGCGGAGTTGAGATGGAGGAACTGAGAAGGCAAGTGCTAGAGGGGTATGAATATATGTGCGGAAGTCTCCTACCACGAGGTGGGAAAGAAGGAAGAAAGCTAATCTTTCTCAGGATGTCTTAAGGTCACAGCCTAAACGAGTCAGTGAGGGAGCTGTGAATAGCAGCCGGGTCTCCTGGCCTTCGCATCTCCCTGCTGGGGGCTTGCTTAGTCTGCTTGAAACATGGCTGGATGCTCCGGGGCCCTGCTGGCTGCTGGGTGGGCCGAGCTCCAAGCGGCCAGGGCTCAAAGGAGCCCAGCCAGGAGGTGGGATTGCCCCCAGTCTGTGCACACCGTGAACAGGGGAGAAATGGCTGAAGTGGGGCAGCTGACCCAGAGTTGGGGGTGCTTCTGGTTGAATGGGGAGGGACACAGATCCTGGACACCGCCCCAGTGCCCTCTTCCAACAGTGCCCCAAAAGCCATGGCTGGGAAGCCATCATCGTCATCATTGCTCAGCATGAGAGCCGTGGGGGCTCCCCAACGCTGTGGGAGCTGCAGGGCAGGAAGGCCAGGGACTTGGGCCTCCGCTGTGGAATGTGGGGGTGGCAAGGACTCTGGAATCCCTGCAGCCCATAGGTTCCAGAACAGAGGTTGGAGCCCCAGACTGGTCAGTTTTTTGGGGGTTGGGATGTAGCTGGTCTGCCAAGCCTTGACCAGGGCACTGCCAGCCTGCTCTTTGTTCATATTCTTCTACTGGGTGAGAGCCCCAGCTGTGCAGTAAGACACGTGCCATCCTCTGCTTCCCAGTGCCTTTCCTCTGCTCTGAAGATTCCAGGTTGGGAGGCGTCTGTTCAAGGGTGCTAGCTGGTTGGGCAAATGTTCTAGATTCCTGAAAAGGGCCCCCAGGGTAGCACAGCTTGGGCCTGTCCCATCCGGGGTGTCCTGGTGGGGAGGTGGGCAGAGCTCACGGGCACCATGCTTGGGGCAGGCGCTGATTCAAATCTCCACTGTGATTTCTTTGCTGTGCTTGGTCCCACCAGGGCTCAGAAGTAAGTCCCACCCCAACCCGCTGGGGTCAGTTGCTTGACCATACCTGCATGGTTCTGCATCAGGGGAGGGACAGGGGAAGACACGATCCAGCCCATCTTTGGCCATGAGAACCACCAGGCAGCCCCTTCTTCCCCCTCCCCAGGGAGAGTCCAGACCCCCCACCCCAAGGATAGGGCCCAGGACCTAAAGACCAAGCTGGTCTGAATGGGCGGGCCTCCTGGGGTGAGGGATAGGCAGAGGGTGTCGCAAGCCCACTGCCTGGCTGCAGTGGGGCCCAGGGCGTTTGCTCAGGCCTAGGTGCAGGGCAGCTTCTGCCCTGGGGCTGGTTTAGGACAGAAGGGGCTCAGTGGCATAGCCAGACACCATCACCTCGCACCTTAGACATCTGGGCATCATCACCACTGGCCTGGCTTTGGGTCCCAGGTGCTCCCTCTCTGGGAGGAGGGAGGGAAGGGAGGCAGCCCCCAAGTCATGCCCTCCCTCACTGTTCAGTCGCCATGCCCCACACCATGATGCCAGCTTCGTTTCTGACTCCAGGTGGATCACAACTAGGAGCGGAAAGAGTGGAGGAAATGAGGGGGCCCGGGGCAACTGCCCCTGGAAACCCTCCATTGCTCTACAGGCTGCCCCCTCCCACCTCATTCTCCCGCTGCATGTCCTGTGAGGTGTATCCCCTGGGGCATCTGCATGAAGGGGTTGAGGCCCCTGGGGCCACCCCCAGCTCTGGCCCCGAGTCTCACTTCCTTGTCCCTCTCTGCCCACCCCCACCCCCGTGCCTCTGCAGGCTGAGGAGTGTAAAGATGGAACAGAGAAAGTTGAGTGACCAGGCTAACACTCTGGTGGACCTGGCTAAGGTGAGGTGGGCCCTGCCCATGCCGGCCGGGGTGGGAGAAAGTGGCACAGGGTGCTGGGAGGGAGGCTTTTTCTCTCTGGACAAGCTGAACTAGTTTTTATCCCATCTGTAAAGAGGATTTCTGCGCTGGGGATGGACAAAGGGATGCTTTTTCCCCCTGCGATTCTTTCCAGTTCTGGAATTCTGTGGCTTCCAAGGTCCAGGGTTTTTTGAGTAAGCGAGTGCCAGCCAGCCTCTGAAGTGTGGGTGAGGCCCTGTGCCCAATCCTGGCAGCAGGGCTGGAGGGGAGCAGAGGAGGGTCTGTACCTTAGAACTGGCTTCCTGGCAAACTCAGAGAAACCGAGGCCCACGAGCCAAAGATTGATCTGAGTTAGCATGGCTAGTAAGCGTCCAGAGCCAGGACTTCACCTCCAGCCCCTGACCTCTCAGGCTGGGATGCCTTCCTCCCGGGGCCTCTAACCTTGTCACCCGTTCTCCTCAGACCCAGAACGTCATGTATGACATGGTGGCTGAACTCCAGGGGCGCAGCGAGGACCTGGAGAAGCGGATCACAGCCCTGGAGACCAAGCTGGACGCTCTGGGGGCCACCCTCCAGGCTCTGCCCGGCCTCATCACCCAAGCCATATGCCAGGTGCCGGCCATGGCTGGGGACTCAGGCACCGGGACCTCCCCCCGCCGGCGCCTGGCCCCACTGGCCCCAGACAGTGGGTGAGCCTGCGGCGGCTGGGGCAGGGAGACTTGACTCGGACCTTTTATGTTTAGCCATTGTGTGGCTGATCTCATTTGCTTTTTCTGTAAAGCCCTGTACAGTTATCTCTCTTGGAGTTCAAGATGCTGGAGTGGAGCCCGGCCTACTTCAGCTGGGGCCCTGAGCCCTGGCGGCACCTCCTCTCCTGGTCTGGGTCCCCAGGGCTGAGGGCACTGGCTCCCCCCCGGCTGCCTCTCCCGCCTTCCCTTCCAAAACCCCAGTGCTCCCTCTGAGGGGAGGGAGCCTCACAGCAGGGACTCAGCCACTGATGCAATTTGGAAATGGGGGGCCCCCCCCCAGATGCTGAGCCCTCTTCCTTCCCCCAAGCCCTGTTCCACTGGCCAGCTTCTGATGTCAGGGTCCAAGGGAGAGAGAGCCTTTGGGTCTTTTGTTTCTTGGGCACCTGAGAACTGACTGGAGTCTTCGTGGAGAGTTGGAGAAGGCTTGAGTGAGGCCTCTCTCTTCCCAACCCCTCCTCCCATCCCAGGGGAGGTGGTGGGGTAAGAGGTTGGCTGCTGGCCCACTTTCAGATCAAGTGGGACGTGTAAAGGAGCCACGCCCTCCCTCCCCTTCCTCTGAGTCCCGACACTATGGGGTTGAGGTGGGGGTGGGACAGGTTTGCCCTGGCCTATGGTGAATATGGAAGGGTGGGAAGGGGAAAGGGGGGGGGGGGGTCAGGAAGTAGATGAGAAGAAGAAAATGACTAAAAGCAGGCCTGAGACCCCAGTGTTCTTCCTCCTCTCCTGGAAGGTCCCTTCCACTTCTTTCCTAACACCTTTCTGACCCATGGAGGCTGACTTACACAAGGGCCTGGCTATAGAGTTAAAACTGTATGGGGGTGGGGGTGGGGGTGGGATGGGGAAGGTTTCACTGCCATTAGCTCCTACTTTGGCTCAACATCTCAGCTGACCCTTCTCTGGCTCACTGGACCTTGTAGGGCCTAAGGGAGAGGAAGGAGGCTCAATGGTGGCCAGCTAGAGGTCCACAAGGGAGGGAATGAGGCTGGATGGCCCCCTGTGCCCTCTCCCTCCTCCAGGCCCCTCCCTGAGGGGGCCCCACCTTGACACCCCCCGGCCGACTCAGAGGCCAGGGCCCTAACCGATCTTCAGCGCCATCCAACACTGCTTAAGCACCCATCGCCTGCAAAGCTTTGTGTGAGACCAAAGGTTCTTAACCTGGGGCCCACGGGGAGATTTCAGGGGATCCATGAACTTGGCAGGGGAAAACTGACATCTTTATTTTCACTAACCTTTAACTGAATTTTAGTATTCTCTTCAGTTATTTAAAAAACGTGATTCTGAGGGACCCCTAGGCTTCAGGCCACTGGAGGCATCCATGGGACAAAAAAAAGCTGAGAACTCTTGGAGAAGGGCGGTGGGGGCAGTGATCCAAGGAGTAGCTAAGCTTATCCCTGCCCTGGAAGTCCAGATGATAACTAACCCAAGAGTGCAGGGATAAGAGGCAAAGAGAGGATGAGCTCTGTAGACAGCCCGTGGTCAGGGAGAGCTTCCTGGAGGAGGTGGAGGACGTGGGCTTTTTAAGAGAGGCCAGGGGGCAGACAGAGTGGCTGGAGCCACTGTGTGGGAATGTTGAAGGCCTTAGAAGGGTTTGGAATTGTGCTTGGGAGGTAATAGCTCAGAGGTTCTCAATCAGCCCAAACTACGGTTGAAGAAAATGGGTTTGGCAACATGTGAGCCACAACACGAGTGTGGCGGTCGGCTCTTTGGCCCTGCCCCTCCTCAAGTGGCAGGGGAGTTGGGCATATTAAGGATGGTCCATCTGGTCCCAAAGGGTCAATCCGGGGAACACAGACACCAAGGCCTCGGCCACAGATTGAGCCGAGTGGTTCCAGCATGGCCCACCGAGAACCAGCCTCTTCTGAGCGGCCTATCCTCGTCAGCTTAGAGCAGCCGTTCTCAAACTCTGTGGTCTCAGGACCCTAAAGAGCTTTTGTTTATCTGGGTCATATCTATTGATATTTACTGTGTTAGAAATTAAAATGTCTTAGTATTATGAATATAGTTTTGATCTTGCAGACCCCCTGAAACAGCCTCAAGGACCCCCAGGGGTCCTTGGCCCACCCTTGGAGAACCACTGTCCTAGAGGATGCGTATTGTTTTCTCTTTCAAGTGAAGTCAACAAGCATTTATTAATTAAGCCTACTGTGTACCAGGCACTGTGCTAAGTGCTGGAGGACTTCTCCATTCTTTTGGGGCCTGGGTGCTTCATTGGACCAGGCTCTGAAACTACCTTTAGGTAGGGTCCACTTAGAGCCTGGGCCCTACTGGGTTGGGGTGGCGAGGTCACTTTGGAAAATGGATGAATTGGTAAGGCAGGTGACTTTTTGCTTTCAATTGAGTACAGCAAAAGGAAGAGAAGTCAGTGAAGTCCCTCGCCGTCTGTAAGTCTCGGCTTGCCCACCTGCAAAATAAGAGCATCGGGCTGGCTTATTCCTAGGGCCCATCCCTGACATTCCGGGTTCTACCCGGTCTCCCACCTCCCAGGCAGCAATTCCATAGTTGACCACAGGAGGGCACCTGGAGACCGATTGAAAACTCTGGCACCGTCCGCCAGAAGGGACCATGGGTTCAGAATGGGATGGAGATGGGATTCTGGAGATGAGGCCCCAGAAAGGCCAACCTGTGTGAATCTGCTGGGGACAGTTTGAGGCCCTAGCTGAGTCTCGCTCCATCTTCCACCTGGTGACATAAGGCCTCCCTCAATTTCTCCACACACACCCCATGAGCGTGTGCTCCCCTCCGAAGACTTTCCTAGAGCACTCAGCTTCCCCCCTCCCCTGCCCCCATTGCATCCTACTTTGTATCATACTTGTCTGTCATATCCTCCCACTAGAATATAATGATCTCCTTGAGCGCAGGGATTGTGACACAGCCATCCTCATCTCCAACATTCTTACAAATAGTAGAGGGTTAATAAATGCTTGTTGCGATTAAGATAGAGGAAAAGAGTGAGACTTGTGGTCAAAAGGCTGGGGGGGGGTGGGAATTAAAAAGAAACCGAGGGAAAGGAAGGTCCAAATACCTCCTCCTTCCCAAAGCCCTCATTTAGAATAAGCTGAAGGTACTGCACACAGTAGGTGCTTAATAAATGTCTTGAATCCATTTGTTGGGGTGGACTCCTTAGCTCTGTGCTGTCACTACTGAGCACAGTGGCTTCAGGCTGTCGCCATCGCTTACTTATCTGGGTACTGCTCAGTGCTCCCCTTCGTGGTTCCCAGTACCCTTCGTCCCAAATGAGGGGCTTCTTCACCTTTATCATGTCATGGAGGCCTCTGGCACTGGCTAAAGCCTGTAGGTCTCTTTTTAAATTAATAAAATCAAAGACAGAGGATTAGAAGGGACACTAATTCTATTGAAATGCAGTTACCAAAATATTTTGAACTGGTTCGTGGGCCCCAGGTTGATAAGCCCCGAGATCATTCCTCCCATCTAAAGCGCTTCCTTTTCCTTCAGCAGCTGCAGGGGGTTGGGGGAGGGGCCTGTTGTTTGGAATCCTGAGGGAGTGATATCAGCCACACCAAACACAAGGGCCCCAGACATGACAGGGCCTGTATTAGGCACTGAACCCAAGTCAGGAGGAGGCCTGGGCACCTCAGATAAGGCCTGTTTTCCTTTCCCCTAGGACAGAAAATATTACATGCCCTCACTCAGGCCACAGTCAGAGCCTCAAGAGAAGCATATCCAGCCAGGTCCTTTTCTCCCTCCCACCAGGACCTGAGCCAGACAGTTTTAGACTGAGAACATGAACACTTTTAGAACAAAAAACATCAGAGCTGGGAGGGCCTTTAGAACATGGAATGTCAGAGCTGGGAAGGCTTTAGAACATGGAATTTCAGAGCTGGGAGGGCCTTTAGAGCACAGAATGTCGGAGCTGGGAGAGCCCTTAGAACGCAATGTCAGAGCCAAGATGGCCCTTAGAACACAATGTCAGAGCTGGGAAGGTCCTAAGAACATAGGATGCCAACTGGAGGGGGGTCTTAAAGCACAGAATGTCAGAACTGGGATGCCCCTTTGAATATAGGATATCAGAGCAGGGAGGACTTTTAGAACACGATGTCAGTGAGGGCCATCAAAACCCAGGAGGGTCCTTGGAGAGTTGAGGGCTGGGAAGGACCTCAGAGCACACAGTAGATTCTACAGTAGAAGGTTAGAGCTGAGAAGGAGCCTAGAACACAATGTCAGAGGGAGAAAGGACCTTAGGGTGAAGAATAGCAGAGCCAGGACTGACATTAGAATATAGAACCAGGATCTCCAAGGACAGCTGTGCCCATATAGCAATCCCTTCTGCAGCTTCACCTATAAGAGGTCACCCAGTGTCCCTGGAAGGGCAAAGTTCCTATAAGTGGGAGTCTGGGAAAAGGGATAACTTCCTAATGTTTAGAACTGTCCAAGCATAGAATGGCCTCAGATGGCTCTAATTATTAGGAAATTTCTATTTAGATGGAACCAAATCTGCCTCTCACTTCTACCTGAAGACATCTATCATATCCCCACTGTCTTCACTTTCCCAGGGCAAACATCCCCAGTTTCTTTGATCATAATAAAGCCTGTTTTCCACACCCCTCCCTATTCTAGTCACACTCCCTAGTCTTAAAATACGATGCCCCAAATTGAATGCAATATTCCAGACATGATATGACCAAGACAGAGGGACAACAGAATCATCATCCCCTTCATTCTAGATAAGACACTCCATGCAATCTAATTGTTGTTGTGTTTTGTTTTGTTTTTTACTGCCGTGTAATACTATTTGAATTAAGCCCATCATCCACCAAAACCCCCAGATCTTTCTCAGGCAAGCTTTTCTCTAGCCACAGTTCCCTTAGCTTGTACTTGTGAGGTTAATTTTTTTTTTTTTTTTACACAAGGTTATATCTGTTCAACTTCATTAGATGCAGCCTAACACTTTAGCCAATTGAGACCTTCATTCAACATATCAGCTATCTTCTCCAACTCCATTATCCAAGTCAAGAGTGCTAGGCTTGGAATCAGGAAGACCTGAGTTTAAATCCTGCTTCTGAAAATAGCTGTGTGGGCCATGGGCAAGTCAATTACCTTCTATGAGTCTGTTTTCATATTTGTGAAATGGGGCTAGTACCTGTGCTACCTGCCTCACAGGGTTGTTGTGAGGCGCAAAGGAAATAATGTTATGTGAAGTGCTTTGAAAAATGGAAAGGCCTTGATTCTTCTTGTCACATTTGACAAACTGCTGTTGATGCTGTCATCCAAGGTATCCAGAAGGATGGACTGGCCCCAGTTCAAGGAACTACTCAGCACATGGCACTAAAGACAGCTCTCCAGCTGCATGAAGACTGGAATGACAACTTGGGGGGGGCAAGGGTGTCAGTCAATCAGCCCTGAATCCTCCCACCTGTGTTCTCGGCTCACCCACATTGACCGCCTGGTCCTCACAGATTTGCATGAAGACTTGCTTTACTGAAACCTAGGGACACTGTTGTGAGCACAGAATATAACAGCAGGGTGGGGCTTTAAAACACAGGATGTCAGAGCTGTAAGGACTCTTAAAACAGAAAATGTCAGAGCTGGGAGGGCCCTTAGAGGAAAAGATGTCAGAACTAGGAGGGCCTTTAGAACACAGGATGTCAGAGCTGGGAGGGCCCTTGGAACATAAAACAAGGTCTGAACTCCCCACTCCTCATCCCACCACTAGACCATCGGTGATTTTTTCTGTAATTACTGGATGGAGCTGTTCTGAAGTGTTGTGCAAATTTAGTTCTTGTTGTCATCCACACTCAGTCAGGAATAGCTTTTTTCAACATCCCTGTTAAGTAGTTAAAGGGCCTGTATTTAAACCCCTCCAATGACAAGAAGTGCATGACTTCTCACAGGTGAGAAAAGAAAGAAGACGGGTGGATGGATGGATGGATGGATGGATTAGCTCTTTGCAGACCTTAAAGAGCTATTTTTTAAAAGTCCGTTATTATTGCTTCCCCCAGCCTGGACGGTTCACCAGGCCCTGCTTCCACTCTCTTCTGTGACAGTTCATTTTTCACGCCCGGCTAGAGCTATAAGCCGCCTTTCCCAAAGCTCCCAGTAGTCCTGGGCACGTCGGGACAAGCCCAGCCTCGCCCGTCGGGTGTCTTCCCGACTCCGGAAGCCCGGCATTTCCAGCGCCAAGAGTGAGAACCCTCCGGGCGGGGGCAGGGAGGATGCCCTTGGGCGGGGCTTGCAGACAAGGTGTGGCCTTGGGCCACGTAAGGGCCCCACGGAGTTCAGCTTCCAGCCCGACTGCTGCCTGCGTCCGACTGAGCCTGAGTCTGAATTCAGACCTCCCAACCTTGACACTCAGCTATCTTAATAGCCACGGCGGGCAGGACTGAGCAAAGGGCCCAGAGAAGACCCTGGTCCTCTCTTCCTCCATCCTTCCATCCCCTAGGGCTCAGAGCCCCGAGACGTGAACAGGCTACTCTCTTCACCGGCCCCGGGCTAGAGGCACAGACTGCCCAAAGCAGCAGCAGTCAACCGGGACGCTTCCTGCTCGCCCCCAACCCCCAGCTTGGGCTGTCAGCGAAGCGCGGCTTCCCCGCTCCGCCTGCCCTCGGGCACCACACACACCATGGGCCCCAGCGGAATCCGCAACTTCCAACTGGAACTGAGGCCCGGCGCCTATCACGGTGGGGAGCAGCTGAATGGCCTCTTGGTGTTGGAGCTGAGCCGACCCCTGCGAGTGAAGGGCCTGGACGTGGCAGCCAGGGGGGCCGCCGCCGTGCACTGGCTGGACAGCCGCAGCGTGGGCGTGAACGCCGTGTACAATGACTACGCGGCCTTCCAGAGCTTCCTGCGAAGTCGTAGACAGCTGCTTCCCCGAGGTAAGCCCCGACCTGGGCCACACTGCCGGCTCCGAGGCCTCTTCCCCTACCGGGGGGAAACAAGCACGTCTATTCTGAGTCCATGCCTTCTTGGTCTAGAAAATGGGCTTAACTCCCCCCCCCCCCCCCCCGCCACAGCATCCTCTGTTTGTGAAATTGGCCTGGTTTCACCCACCACCCTGCCTCTGAAAATGGGTCTCAGTTTCCCCAGTTTGTTTTCATTTCATCTGTGAAAATACACATCCTCTCCCTTGCTGATAAATGGGCCTCAACTCACCTTCCCGATTCAGTTCAATTTCACTGGCATTTACCAAATGCCTACTATGTGTGCATTCAGGCCTGGAGAACTGCCCAAGGTATCTAGCCTGAAGATGGAATGCTGAGTTGGGAAAACAGCAAGCAGCCAGTTTGCTGGGAGCTTAGAATAGCTATTATTAGCTATTATTAGAATACTAGCATTTACCCTAGGGTGCAGGAAAGAGAGTAACAAGAAACAAGTCTGGAAAGGTAGACCTGAGTCGGTTTGAGAAGGGCTTTGAATGTCAAAGTAAAGAGTTCTTTAATGTATGTGTGTGTACACATTTTTTTTCTTTTACAAAGAAGGCAATAGGGAGCCACTAAAGATGTTTGAGCCAGGGAGTGACATGGTCTGATCTGTTCCTTCTCCTTAGATTATTTGGCAGCTCTGTGTGTGGATGATGGGTTGAAGTGGGGAAAGACTGTAGGCAGGTAGAGCAATGAGGAAGCTGTTGCTCTAGGATAAGGCAAGGGGGCCTGAACTTAGGTTGCTCTGTGAATGAATGCATACATGAATAAAGCATTTATTAAGCACTTACTATGTACAAAGCACTTTGCTAAGCCATGAAAATATAAATAGAAAAGTAAGCAATTTGAGGGAGACAACACATGGAAAGTTTCAGCTGCAAGTCAGATGGAAAAGTTCCATGATCCTCAGGGTGATATAGTAGCAAAGTAGATGGTGATGCCTCTTCTGTAATGTCATTTCCTTTGATGAAATCATAACAGTTTCTGACGTTGAGCCATCTGAGAATGCTGATGGCTTTGGTGACGAGAAGTCTTTTCTGGGTCTTCCGTAGCTGTGGCTGCAGCCCCTGCAGGAGCAGGGCCAGGCTGCATCTCCATCGGGGCTGCTTCCAGGAGGACTGCTGAGGGCTCTGAGCTGGAAGCCTTGCTCTTCCCAAAGCTCTTGTGCTGTGCTGCCTCCATCAGGGTCTCAAGGGAGATGGTGGCCAACAGGGTAGGGGTTTGGCTTGTCTGTCCCTCCCTCGGGGGTCTGGCAGCTTCAGTTAGGCTGGCTTGCCTGCTTGTATATGGCCACTGGGAGGCAGCTGGTGGGGATGGCTGGCCCCTTCTCCATAGGAGTTGCTCCTTGGATGATGGCTGTGAGACCTGGGTTGGAAGCAGGACCTGTGGTCTGGGGGATGCTGCCAATCCTGGGGCTTCCGTGTCTATCTCTCTTTTGGGGGTAGTTGTCCCAGTTGGTGATGAGACAGGCAGGCCTCCCTCTCTACAATGATTTCTCCCCTCAATGGTGGCTTTGGGGGCTGGGCTGGAGGCTGTTTTGTGAGGAGGGGCCCCTACTGTTCCCAAGACTCTTGGGCTACCTTCGTCAGGGTCTGAGAGAGAATGGTGAACATGGCAGTAGTAGGGCTGGTTTGCCTGCCTTTTTATGCCAGTTGGCATTGGTAGCACGGCTGCTTCCTTTCTCTACAGAAGCTATTTCCCCAGATGATGGCTGTAAGGGCTGCGACTGGTGGGAAAAGCTGGGTGACATATTGTGGAGAATCTATAAGACCAGGAGGATTATGGTGTCCTCCAAAGAAAAAAGAGAGGAGGGAGAAGGTAACAAGCATTTATTAGACACCTACCATGTGCCAGGCCCTGTGCTAAGAGCTTTACAGATATCTCATTTGGTCCTCACTAAAGCCCTGGGTGGGAGGATCCCATTTTGATACTGGAGGAAACTGAAGCAGACAGAGGTAAAATGACTTGCCTAGGGTCACACAGCTAGTAAGTACCTGAAGATGGATCTGAACTCAAGTTTTCCTGATTCCAGGCCCAGCACTGTAACCACTACCCCACCTAAGTGTCTCCAAAAAATGTCAGTTTGGAGGAAGGGCAGGTTTAGAAAGGAAGATAAAGAATTCCATTTCAGACATGGAATGTTTGATGTATTCCAGTGGGATATCCAAGTGGAAATGTCTGGCAGGTAGCTGCTGATGAGAGATCAGAGCTCAGGAAAGAGACCAGAGTTGGATGGACGTGTAGATTTGGGAGTCAGCCATGATTCTCAGTCATCATGAGAGAATCCTTGACCCCAGGGTTGATGAGATCACTGAGGGAGGGTGTAAGGAGAAGAGGGGAGGACTGGAAATCGGAGCCTTGTGGGACAGTGGGGGGGGGTAGCAGAAGGGGCAGTTGATGTGGCACTTATTCGGGTACCTGAGGTCTTGCTTGAGTCACAAGACCAGGGTCAAGGCCTGCCTCAACTACTTATTATTTCTGGGACTTTGAGCAAATCACATCACCTCATCTGTAAAATGAAAGAATTGGGCTAGATACTCTCTCAAGTCCCTGTGTGAATCTATGACGCTCACATTTCACGTGCATCAGAGGTGACTAAGAAAGACAGGGAGGAGGAGAACCAGGGGAGAACAGACCCCAAAGCCAAGGGAAGGGCGGCTTTCTCAGAGAGCGTGGCCTACGGTGTCTGGACAGGAAGAGGTCCAGAAGGCTGCAGTCTGACAAGAGGCCGTCAGCCCCCGCGGGGACGTCACCACTAATCAGGGAGTAGATATTCACAGAGTGATGAGAAATGAGTGTGAGGAGAAGATGTGGAGGCCATGAGCAAAGATGACTTTTTCTAAGATTTAAGCCAGAAAGGGAGTGAGAGAGCACAAGTGCCTTAGAGGACATCGGGGTCAAGCAATGGGGTTGTTGTTGATGATGATGACATGGTTGTTGTTAGAGGCTGGGGGAAGCCTGAGCATACAAATAGGCACTCCTGAAGGATCCGGGAGAAAAGGAGAGGCTGAAGAGGGGAGCAGCCGGGGGATGGGCTTAGCAAAACAGTGATCCCCCAATCCCATCCTGAATGCATTTGTTTTTTTTCTTTTTGGTTAGTCAATGGGGTTAAGTGACTTGCCCAGGGTAACACAGCTAGTAAGTGTCAAGTGTCTGAAGCCAGATTTGAACTCAGCTCCTCATGACTCCAAGGCCAGAGCTCTATCCACTGCATCACCTAGCTGCCCCCTAAACGCATTTATTAAGTGCTGACTGTATACCAGTTAGGTGCTGGAGATACAGAGATGACAGAAAACTAAACAGCCCCTGCCCTAAAGAGCTTACAAGCTACTGACAGGGTACAACATGTAAACAGATAAGTATATACATGATAAGTTATGGCACAGAACAGCAGTAAACACACATGGGGCAGCTAGATGGCGCAGTGGATAGAGCACTGGCCCTGGATTCAGGAGAACCTGAGTTCAAATCCAGCCTCAGACACATAACACTTACTAGCTGTGTGACGTTGGGCAAGTCACTTAGCCCCATTGCCTAGCCAAAAAAAAAAAAAAAGAAGAAGTAAACACACAGCCCATAGGCTGCCTGCCCACAACCCTTCCAGGCATGGCCAGAACCAGATTAAAATGTAATTGGGAAACATTTAGGTGGCATTATGGGGCCTGGAGTCAGGAAGACCTGGCCTCAGACCCTTATTATGTAACCCTGGGCAAGTCACTTCACCCTGTTTGCCTCAGTTTCCTCATCTGTAAAATGAACTGGAGAAGGAAATGGCAAACTGCTCCAGCACCTTTGCCAAGAAAACCCCAACTAGGGTCACAAACAGTCAGATGTGCCTGAAATTCTGACAACGACTGAAAAAAGAATAGGGAAATAAATAGGGAAAATAAATAAACCTACAATAAAAGATAGATAACATTACATTTTAAAACAAAGGCAGCCTGCAGCCTGCAGGGTTCTTTCTGTATGCCTTTCTGCCTGAGTTAGGCACCCCTGGTGTAGAAGATGGTTGGAAGGGGATGTTGGCCCCGTCAAGGAGAACGGTCGCCGCTTCCTTAGAGACTGGAGCAAAGGAAAAGAGAATGAGGAACAATACAGAAGGGTCTTGAGGTGTGGAGAAGGGGAGAAGAATATCACTATGGAGGGGAGTCTCAGAAAAGTACAAGGAAAAGCTTTGCATTGGAAAGGTGGGGGACAACAAGTATGGAATGTTGCATACGTTGTCACCGGAGATCACTGTGTGTCGCCTGGTTTTGTGGTTTTCTTTGTTATAAGTGAAGGTTCACTGGCTATGAAGAGGAGGATAGGGAAGAGGAGAAGCTGTATCCAGAAATGACTCTGATGTAAAAATTTTAAGCATCAATAAAACTTTAAAATAATAAAGTAGGAGAGTGTCCTTTGTCTGCAGAGGAGGAGGGAAATGGGTTTGAGGAGAGAAGAGAAGGCTGGGGACAGTCATTGTGAGGCCTTTCATAGGATGAAAGATCCATTTCTCTTCCCCATATCCCATGTCCCAGGAAGAGGGCCGTGGTTTCTCCTCTCCATTTCTAATTTGGGAAATGAAAGATTAATCCCAGCTAGGAGTCTGGAATTTGTCCTAGTGTTGGGATGGTGGGGACGGGGTGGGGAGGGGGGAGGGTTGGAACCCTGAGCTGGCTGGGCAGCCTTAGGTGGAATTAGGATGTTTGGACTCCAGTCCCATCATGGCAGGAGGAGGGGGTTTGGTCTGTGCCCTGGAGGCTGAAATTTCCATTTGGGCCCTGCCACTGCCCAGCCCGGCTATGCCTGAGGACTGCCCTCTTCTCCTACCCGTGAACTGCAGGGAGGGGAGTTGATCCTGCCTCTTGTCCCAAAGGGAGTGAGTGAGTCTGATGTTCCTGTGAGATACAAGGAGCGAGAACTGGGAGAATCTCTAAGTCTGCTGCTTTTACAGTTAAGGAAACTGAGGCTCAGAGTTGAGAATGAACCTGCCCAGGGTTGCACAGGCAGTACATAGGCAGAGGCAGGATCTGAACCCAGGTCCTCTGACTCACAGATGGTGCTCTTCTTACTCCACACTTGTTTTGTCGTCTTTGGAGTTCCCCAGCTTGGGAGGCTGGGCACAGCTACGGGCATTAAGAGCTAAACGAGACCTTGCTGTCCATCTTGTCTAACCTACTTACTTTGCAGACAAGGCAGCAGAGGGCCAGAGACGTTAAAAATGACTCTTCCAAAATCCCATAACTAAAGTGGCAGATTCAAACCCAGGACTTCACCTGCTCTACTACAGATGGAGAGACTGAGGCCTAGAGTAGGACAGAGACTTGTCCACAGTCACAATGCCGGCTGCCATAATCAGTCAGTCAGTTTTTGTTAAGCACTTACTACTTGCCCAGCCCTGGGCTGGCTAAGGGCTGGAGAGACGAAGAAAAGATGGTCTCTGTCCTCATGGAGCTTCCGGCCTAATGATCACAATTAGAGGGGCAGCGAGGTGGTGCAGTGGATAGAGCACCAGTCCTGGATTCAGGAGGACCTGAGTTCAAATCCAGCCTCAGACACATAACACTTACTAGCTGTGTGACCTTGGGCAAGTCACTTAACCCCCATTGCCTAACCAAAAAAAAAAAACCAAACCAAAAACAAAGACACAATTAGAGAGAAGACAGCATGATACAATGGAGGCAGTGCTAGACCTGGAGGCTGAGGACCTGGGTTCTAATCCTGGCACTGCCACTTACTACCTGTGTGCCCTAGAACAAGTCCCTTAACTGATCTAGGCCTCAGTTTCCTTCTCTGTAAAAGGAGGGAGTTAGACAAGCTGGCCCTGAAGATGCCTTCTAGTTGTCCATCTATGATCCCGAGCCTTCTTTGGCCCCTCATCCTGAATCTCCTCCTCTCCCCCCAACCCCGCCTCCGTTGGAGGCTTTTTCCTCCTCTCTCTGTGTCTTCCCAGCTCAGTCCTTCTGTAATGGGAAGGCTACAGATCCAGCCCAGGGGAGCTGTTTACACACAGGAAAGCAAATGAAAGGCCTGAGGTTTCCAGGTGTGAAGATAGAGCCCTTTGGCCCATGGGTAAATATTTACCCCAGAGTTTATGCCAGCTTGGAAGCAGGGAGGAGAGGCGAGAGGGTGGACTCATGAACGGAGGAGAAAGCCGGGGAGCTGCCTGGCTAGGGAACCATGGCCAGGCCCCTTCCCCTCTCTTACAACAAGGGCCTTCAACCAGAGGGTCTCCAAGGCCCTGCATCCCCACCCTGGCCCAGCTCTGACGGTTCTTGTCCTCCCAGAGACTTTCCAGAGGAAGCCTCACAAGGGACGGAAGCTGACCCCATCAATCTGGGTTCAAATCCTTACTTATAGTGTGATATTGAGGAATTTGCTTCCCCTGTCTAACCTCAGTTTCCTCATCTGTAAAATGAAAGAGTTGGAGCATCCAGCTCCTACACTGGGTGTAATTCTGAAGGGTGGAAGCCACAATGGCAGGCAGGTGGAAGAGGGGCAGAGCTTTTAAGCCAATGAAGACCTGAGGGTGGGTTGGATTCTTAGGGTACCTTTCAAATCACAGATACAGAGAAAGCCAACCCTGGATGTGGGCACCAGGATCTGGGAGAGCAGACAGAGGTCCCCAGGTGTGTTTAGGGGTGGGGTTGAGGTGTGGTCACTTCTCCCCCATATACCCCCTTCATCTTAGGAGCACTTTAAAACACCTGGGGTCCAGTAGGGACCCTTTCCCAAGGAAGCTCTGGGTAGCTTGCCCTGGGCTATTTGCTATGTTGCCCGATCAGCTCTATCTAGCAAACCAGGCATGCC